CCCCCCCGCCCCTCCCGCTCGGCGCCCCCCCGCGCCGGAGCTCCGGTGGGCGCGGCGCCGTGCCGTCGGGCCCCCCGGCGGGGAGGGCCGCGCAGCACCTGCTCGGTCCCCTCGGCGCTCTTCTCGGGGCGGGGGGTCTACGCCGGCCCGGCGGACGTGCGTGCGTGCGGTACCCGCTGGCGGGCCCGGCTCGGCCGCGGCGCGGGGTGTGCGGACTGCCGAGCGTCCGCAGCCCCGCTCTCCGGCTCGGCTCCCGCTATAGCTCCGAGCCCTGCGGCTTTGGGAGGGAGGGAAGCCCGGCGCTGTCGGCGACGGCCGCCGTGCTCGCGGGCCGCGGTGCTGGGGTTCCCTGTTCCGTCCCTGCGGCTGCGCCGCGGACTTCTGCTGTGGTTCCCTTTCGTCCTGCGCCGCAGCACGGTGTGCTCGCGTCTGTGTCTCGTACCTGCTCCGGGGATCCGTTCTACGTGTTTACGTCCCGGCTTCTAACTAACGGCCCCCGCGTTCAGCCGCAGCCCTTGTAGCAGACGAAAAAGTTCTGCTGTAGAATTGCCTCCTTTGTGTCGTTCTTGATCTTGGAGATGGAGAACCGCTTCGCGCAGTCGTAGTTGGGGTAAAGAGCGTTCTGAATGAGTGGCTGTGTGGCTGTAGCAGCTTCCCTTCCTTCCGACGGGCGCTTCGGTGGTTCCCGGGTTTGGGCTACAGCGCGTCCTGTTCTCTGGTGCACAGCTGTGTGCCCCTCTGGTGCGGGGCTCTGCCTCGGAGTGGGACTGCCTTCCTGCCGGTTCCCGAGGGCGTGTGCCAGGGTGCTCTCCCGCAGCTCTGCGTGCGAGGCGTGCTGGCTGCTCCTCTTTACCAACACCCAGCATGTGCTTTTAATTTAAGCCGTTGCAGTAAGCGTCTCATCATATTTATTGCACAAAAACTGTATTTGCACTTCCCTGATGATTCATGAATTTGAGTACCTTTTCATATATTTATGGTCATTTGCAACTCTTGTGAAGCATCTTCAAGTCTTTTCCCCATTTTTAAATTAGTCCTTTAATCTCTTAAATATGGATTTGCAACTTTTATGTTTTCCGAATATGATAGTTTGGTCGAATATATGTACTGCAATTTTTTTTTCCATTTTGTGGATGCTTTAACACTCAGTGATATATCTTCTGATGAGAAATTCTTAATTTTCATATAGTTCGCTTTAACAGAAATTGTTTTATGGTCAGTTCTTTCTGTGTCTTGTTTAAGAAATCTTTGCCTACTCCAAAATTATGAAGGTATTCTCTGTGTTTTCTTTAAATGCTTTATTGATCTACTCTACCCATTTAGATCTGCAGTTCATCTGGAATTTATTTTTTGTGTATGTTTTGAGGTAGGAGTCTTTTTTTTTCCCCCCACCTGGATGTCCAGTCGCTTTAGCACCATTTATAACCTTTGTCATGACTTAGGTAACTATAATTGGGGGGTTTAATTTTATAATCCATGCCGTTCCATTGATCTATTTGTTTTTGGCTTTACTTTTTAATTAATGAGATATTCTGTCATTTGGATTGAGAAAAAGACTCATGTTATAGTAGCCAGGAGCTTTATTACCTTTGCTACTCTGAAAACGACTTAGTTTTGGCACTGATTTTAAAGTTCCTTAGTTCTGCTCCTTGTCACCCCAACTTCCTCTGAGCCAGCACCTCTGGGTGGTGAACGTACTCTACAGAAGCTGTGCAGAAGTGAACAAGTTCACTGGGTTTCCCGTCTTTGGCATTCTTTTCTCAAGTTATTCATATTTAGAGTGAACATAGATACTTGAGTTTTCTCTAGGACATTTTGGTTTTGCCATGTAATGCTGTAAGTTTTACCTTTCTGATACAGTATACATAGCATGTGATTAACATTTTTAAATGTACAATTCAGTGGCATTAAGTACATTCACATCTTGTGCAACCGTCACCACTGCACATCTCTAGAACTTTGCTGTTATTCCAAGCTGAAACTGTCCCCATGAGTCATTAACTTACCATTCCTTTCTTCTTCCAGCTTTTGGTAACCACCATTCTACTTATGTCTCTATGAATCTGACTATTCCAGGTATCTCATATAAGTGGAATCATACAGTATTTGTCCTCTCATGTCTGGCTTATTTCAATCAGCATAAGGTTTTCAAGTTTCATGCATCTCGTAGCATGTGTCAGAATTTTTTTCCTTTTTAACATTGGATGATATTCACTTGTATGGACGTAACCATATTTTGTTTACCCATTCATTCATCACTGGACATTTGGGTTGTTTCCTGGCCTTTGTAAATAGTGCTGCTATGAACAGGTGTACAGATACAAATACCTCTTCGAAACTTTGCTTTCAGTTCTTTTAGATATGTGTATACCGAGAAGTGGAATTGTGGGACCATATAAAAAAAAATTCTATGTTTAATTTTTTTGGGAAAAATTGCTGCAGTGGCTGTACCATTTCACAGTCCCACCAGCAGCGCTCCAGGATTCCAGTTTCTCCACTAACACGTGTTGTTTTAAAATTGTTATCCTAACGGGTGTGCAGTGGTATCTCATTGTGGCTTTTATTTGCATCTCCCTGATGGTTAGTGATGTTGAGCACTATTTTATGTTCTTCCTGGCCATTTGTATATCTTCTTTGGAGAAATATCTATTTGAATCCTTTGCCTGTTTTGAATTGGGTTGTTTTGTTGTTGACTTTCAGGAGTTCTTTATATATTCTGGATATTAATCCCTTATTAAATATCAAATTTGCAAATATTTTCTCCCATTCTGTGGGTTGCCTTTTTACTCTATTGATAATGTTCTTCGATGCACAACAGTTGTTAATTTTGATGAAGTTCATTTTATACATTTTTTTTCTTTTTTTGCCTGTGTTTTTGGTGTTATATTAAAGAAATCATCACCAAATCTAATGTCATGAAGATTTCTATCTATGTTTTCTTCTTAGAGTTTTAACTCTTACATTTGGGGTCTTTGATCCATTTTGAGTTAATTTTTGTATATTGTGTAGTGTTTAACTTATAAATACTCATGTAATAATCCTTTTTTGTCTTTAGTATTATGAATATCTCAGAGTTCTCTTGTCAATTACTTCAATGATTACGTAGCTAAAATCTATTAACCAAGTGGCAATGATCTATTTTCTTTCTTCCTGTTGCTGGCTTTTTTTTTTTCCTTTTTATTTTGAACTTCAGGTGCACAGAATTGGATTAATTATAATCCTTGGTTCATGCACAAATTTTTCATTGGTTCATGTGTGACCTGCTTTTGATTAACCTATTTTTAAATAGTATGCACACATGAACTGTTACCCAGGATACTAAACCACTGACTCGAGCTTGTTAAGTATCCAGCAGGAGAACTGAAATATGGACAGTAATTTATATGTTCCTGTTCTTTATACCTGCCATAGTTGCACAGCATCACTTGTCTTTTGGTCCATCTATTCTTCTTTAAGTAGGCTCCACACCTAGCATGGAGCCCAGCAGGGGGCTTGAACTCACAACCCTGCGATCAAAACCTGAGCTGAGATCAAGAGCTGGTCGCTAACTGACTGAGCCTCCCAGGCACCCCAGTATTCTATTCTTCAAGTGCATTTACTTAGATGGTACCTTCCAAATGGTTTTCTTATGTTGCCACTTTCACTGATATAGCTGTTACTTTAAAATGGTCACAGATTAATACATAACAGTACCAAAATATCCTCATAATCCCTTCATTAAATTAATAATAAATAACATTTATTGAGTGCTTACTAGGTATCTCATTTGAGTTTCACAACAAGCATATGAAGTAGGTATTTCGCAGCATGTAGCCAAGGTGGCATAGTCAGCGTGTGATGGAACGAGAGTTTGAATCCAGGTAGGCTGATTTCATAGCCTGTACTATATTTACAGTCTTATAAAGTTTAAACCTCCACCATAACAGGGTTATGTCGGATCCAACTAGGTTGGTTACATAAAATGCTTGTTGTAAGGCTAATGAAAGGACCGAGGAGAACTTATGAAACTAGCTGGCAGGGAATTTTGGGGTCTAGCTGCACAATTTAAATTCTTCCTTATTCTGGCTATGGTTTAAGCTCCCTAACTTGGCTGTAGTATTTTTGGTGCAGTTCTGGGGTTCACTAGGACTTTTACAACAGGGGAGATTTTAGGACCCTCTAATTTGCTTGGCTTCCTTTTGGCCACATAGAGTGGGGATATAATGGAGATGCCAGGAATCATGCTCTCTCTACTGCTTCCCTAGGTGAGTTTACCTGCCTTTTTCTACGAGGGTCTTGCCTTCATCTCCATGGCTCAATCCATGTACTGCAGATAAAAACTTTAGCCCTTCCGTCTTGAGAATAGAGATTGGGCAGAAGATGGGAGCCAATCATCAGTCTTGTATCTAAATTTGAAATGCAGGTGTCTGGAGGTCTGTAAGTTTTTTCTGAGCTTTGTCACTGCTCTCCAGCCAAAGACCACCAGGAATATACCTGTAGTTGGACAAGTTGGGTTGATTGCATGTTGCAGTAAGGGAAAATGCACACCATTGGGAATTGTGGGGTGTTTCAATAAGAGAGCATTTGAAAGGAACTTTTAAAAATAGGATTTGGGCTTGTGTGGGGTGATTTGGAAAGAGTTTAAAGAAATGGGGCTTTGATTTGTATTGGATGCTGTTGGGAAGCAGAGATAATTCTATGATTGAGTATCTTAATTTTTTTTTTTTTTAAAGATTTTATTTATTTGACAGAGAGAGACACAGCGAGAGAGGGAACACAAGCAGGGGGAGTGGGAGAGGGAGAAGCAGG